CTCATAGCAGCAGTTACTTGGTTGAAGGCACAAGGCTTTAGGAAGCTGAGGAGACACAGAAAGGCTACTCCCTCCCACACGGGAGGGGGGGCTCCTCTCTGGTCTTTGTTTCAGCTGAAGCACCATGGGGGGCTTCGTGCACCACTCAATTGACCCCATTCCCATTTGGAAGGGCAGAGGGCAGGAACTGGCTGCTGGGAAATTTATCTTTCCTCCCAAACCTCTCTCACTAGTTCTGGTTATCTGAAATCTCACATTTTATTTCCTCTAGTTTGTCATTGGGAAACACCCCAGGTTTAGGCAATCAGGTAAGTGTCAGCATTCATCGCCAATATGAGTGAGTTTGCTGAATCAGGGTTACATGGAGGTGTAACGTGCACCCCATGTGCCGTGTGTGGGACTGAGGTCTGACCAGCACATACAGCTAGGAAAGCTCCACCTCAAGTGGGTATTCCAGCACCCCTCTCTTCCCGTTTGCCTTTTAGAAGCCCTTGTCCTGGCCCCCGCCAAGCACTGATGGGGTTTCTGTGTGTCTTGCCTTTCTCATACAGTTATGGACATGGGTGCTTCCCTCTCCTCGGTGTGTGGAGAGAGCTCTGTGCCACCCAGCGTCCTTTCCCTGCTGCATGGCAGGCTGAGGTGTCTGTGCCCCCAGAGTGTGTGGCTGTACACGGAGAGCATCGGCTGCCATTCACCCTGCCCCGACAGCTGCATCCCTGTCACCCTGCATGTCCATTTGGGACCTGAGAGGGCCAGAGGAGAGACTGACCACAGGGGAGAATGGCTCTCCAGGCAATGAAGGTGTGAGCGTCTCCTGGTGGGCCTTGTCTTCTGCCCCCGCTGCTTGGGGTGGTGGTGCTAGACAGAAAGGATCCCCCAGGAAGGAGGAGGCCAGGGATCCGGAAAAAAATTAGGTGGCTTTTCTATTAGGGCACCAGGAGCAAATGAATCCAACTTCTGTTTAACCCTTGAGTCCCAGTGTCACATCCTTTTAGCTGCATTTAATCCACTCTGCCACACTGATGAGTAACTGTCTCTTAAACAGTAGATGAGCGCTGATCTGTCTTCTCGGCTGTTGGCTCAGCAGCCACAAGAGGACCCAGAAAAGCAGCGTTAAACTCCTTGCTTATTGCAAAATGTCTTTAAAACAGCCCCAAGTCTCCATCTCTGTCTCCTGCCTGCAAAATAGGCATCTGGTGTCCTACTCCTAATCCCAAAAGCTGCAGTTTTGAGACGAATTTAAGTAAACTGGAGGGAGCCTTACTGGAAAACATGTTGTGACCCATTAGAATAGGTCCACTGATGTCTCCAAACTACTCTGCTGTTGTCTGTGAGAGCGTAAGCCATGCATGAACGCTGTAATGAAGCACATGCTGATCCTAAGGTGGCTGGGCGTGGGGGAAACACTCCACCCGCTGGTCACTGTGACATCACCCGAGAAAGAGTTCATGGATGCGAAGCGTGAGGAGAGGGATCCGAGACAGTCGAGTCGAGCTCTGGTCCTACTGAGGTTCCCAGGATGACCCTCCTCTTAGGTCACCCTGCGGTGTGAGGCACAGCTGGAGCCGAGACTCACACCTCCGGAGCCTTGTCATTCGGAGCTCTTTCTTGAATGGGCTGCTTTTGTGGTGCTGAGCACTGGCAGAAGGTTAGGGAGAGTGGGCAGAGACAGCCAAGGCAGCAAACACATTTCCGCCTTTTCCTTGGGGGTTAGAGACAGGCGCTCAGCCACAGTTCCATGTTACAGACATTGAGTTCATGTATTATTTTGTTCTTCCAGCAGATTCATAAAAGGCTTAGTGACCAAACTTCTCAGAGTTAAACTGTTCCTGAAAAGAGCAACAGAGGGATCCAGAGATGGCTGGGAAACATGGTCTTATGTGTTTATGTTTGACTCTAGGTCACCAAAACGCAGGTCCATACGGCTCTTTCCAAGCTGTGTATAAGTTGGCAAATGACAGGAACAACATTTGCTTCTAATCACCCATCCATCTTAATAATGCGGAGCAGCTCGGGGCCCGGCGTTGCGCAATCAGGAGCCCTGGGACTGCTGCGGCTGCCAGCTTGAGAGGTCCTCGGACGCGGGAGCTGCACTTCATGGTTTTGATCATGATCTTCCCGGAACATATTTATTAGGACCATTTGTTGACAACATTAAGAATTAACAAATTATGTTGTTAAAGCATAACAAAAGTTTAATGGCCTCATTAGAAAACTATAAAATTTGTTACTTAAAAAAAGAACTATCGTTGTGTTGGAAAGCTGAAAATACTTCCTAAAGGGCTCTTTGGGTCTGATTTCTAGAACCAAGGCAAAGCTCAGTTGCTGAAGTCTAAAGAATTCAGAAAGAGTAACACACAGTTGTATGTTGGACATCAACATGGCTCGGACATCTAAGCGATGGCCCGTCATGTGGACACTGAACTGGCTTACTTTCAAACTAAAAAAGGAACATGAATTGTTATAAATTCTACTTTCTCTTTACTGTAGAAAAGGGGCCACTTTTGTGGTTTGGGGCTGGGTGGGCAAACAGGAGCAGCCTCTGCCAGAAGGGCCCACCTGTCAGTGCCTGTCCCCAGCATCCTGTGGCCACACTCATTCTGTGGCTCTCCTTCCCCAGAACAGAATCTGCGCCCCCCACAGGGCTGCGTGCATGGCCACCACAGCACATCCAGGTTGGGGCTGACCGGGGACTCCAGGTCTCCCAGGTAGGCGGGGACTCAGCCACCTCCAGGAAAGGACACTTCTGGGTGAGGGCAGGGAGCGCATTCTCAGCAATGAAAGAAACCATTCGCTACTTTGGGAAATCTGCCTGCCATGGGCATCAGCATGGATTGAGCCAATTATCTGGGGAGTCTGGCTCAGTTTGGCTGAAGTGGGTTCGGCTTTGAACTCTCCATATGGTGGCTCAGTGGGGAGAGGAGTTCTTTGGCCCTAGTTTCCTGTGGATGAAGTTGAGGCTTCTCAGGTAGCCCGACTGAGGCTCTGACAGCCTCGGGGCTCTCACTTCACAGGTCTGTTGGGAACATGCCTCTGCCACAGCAAGGGGCCAGGCTGTGCCAGAGGACAAGGTGATTCTCTTTAAGGCCACATGCACCTCAGGGTGCCCATCTTTATCTGCTGGGGTTGGGCTTGTGACTTTGTTTTCCCTTTGAGAAATGGTTTTAGAAGGAACTTTGGTTAGTTCCTTATCCACAGCCAGGATTTAGGAGATCCTCATAGATGGCTGGTCAGACCCCTTTGGCCCTGGTCCCCCATTCCTGCCAGAGCAGTGCTGCAGCCCATGGGGTGGTGTGTGTGTGTGTGTGTGTGTGTGTGTGTGTGTATGAAACCTGGTGTATCAGCTTCCAAGGGGCCCATGGAGGTCAACCTTCTTTCTTTCCTCCCCATTGTCCTAAGGGTTGTAGCTGGGGGCTGTAGAACTCTGCCTCCAGACTTGGGTGCTGAAGCAAGGTAGAGTCAGCTGAAGCTGCCAGCAATCTAGCACTAGAAAGGTGTCAAGGGCATTTCTGATGATGTCTGCAAGTAGCCTCATTGGCTTGCAGGGGGGGCTGAGCAGGGGCTGGGGGCCTGTAGTGGAGATGCCCGGAGAGGGCAGAGGTGGCCCTACTTCTGGTGAGGAAATCACAGGGGAGGGGCCTGCCTGGCTACAGAGATCTGCCAAGTTGCGACCAGAGGCTGGGGTCCTCCTCCTATGTCATCCTTGAAGGCTGAGTCTGCAGTTCCTACGAATACAGCAATTTCAGCATTCCCTGGAAACTGCCTTCCTGGCTGCAGCCTGTGTCCAAACATTCCCAGGCTGGGGTGTCCTTGGGATGTGGGATCAGAGCTCATGTGTCTTAGACAGCTCCCTAGAAGCTGGAGAAGGGGACCTTGGGGGAGGCACAGAACACAGTCCCTTGGGGTGTTCCATTAGGAAGGATCGTTTTTTGAAGGGAAGTGGGATTTTTATTTTTTAAAAAAGTTTTGTAATACTTACAATACCATTTTCTCTTCTTTTTCATTGCTGCTTGTGCATTCTTTAATATAAATAAGTTAACAGTGATTTTAGTAAAAGCCCAAGGATTTAATGGATCTGAGCTTAGAGGATGGCAGCGACTTTAAACTTTCATTTGCAGGACTGCCTTCAATGTTAGTGCAGGAATGAAAACGGCAGCTTTAGAGCATAGACTTAAACCTTCGACTGCACGCAGCTCCTTGCCCTGGCAATGGAGGCGGCCCTCCGGGGGTGGCTTCCCCAGCCCTGGAAGGAGGCGAGGTTGAATGCGGTGATTTCCCCCCAATGAACCTATTGCCCCCTTCCCCCGTTGCTGGTCTATTTGAGTTTTATTTTCCGTTCTAATTATCAGCCTTGTGGGTGCAAATGTCTACCTTTTGTCATAATTCAACCCTGTTATTATCACCCTTTATGACTACTAAGTAGCTATAACCGAAATCAGTCAAGACTTGTTAGCTAGACTTAGGCATGGATTTTTGCCTTCAATTCCTGGTTTAAAACAAAACAAAACAAAAGACATTCTCAAATAAGTCCCACCCTCTGAACGAGGATGCCACATCTTCTAGGGTCAGAAGAGACCCACCCAAGGTTCCCCTCTGGGTAGGAGAACAATGGCACCCTCCAGAGAGGCTGCTTTCCGGCCTCAGAATTCCTTACCATTCGCGCTACCTTTCTGCAGTTTATCTCGATACAGTTAGAGTCCCACTGCCTTTGAACTGATTAACAAACAAGTGGTCGAAGGAACTTGTGCATTCCTAAAGAAGTGGATGGTTCTGATGAACCCTGACGCTCGAGTTATTCTTTTCACCGCGCCAGGACCTCTTTTTTTTTTTTTTTTTTTTTTTTTTTTTTTTTTTTTTTTTTTTTTTGTGGTAAGGTAGTCTTCTACCAAGACTGTTTCTAGCTTCTTGGACCAGACTGGATCCACTTTGCGTGGAAATATGGGCCTACTTATCAGCACGTGGACCCATATCTTCTGGGGTCAGAACATGGAGGGCTCAGTCTCTCAGTGGAAGGCTTTCTGGGGAGAAAGTAGACACTTCTCTGGGAACTCTCCAGCCGAGGCTTGAAGAATTACTGGCTTTGGCTCTAGGAAAGCTCATCAACAGAGGGTCCACCCTAAAAAGACATGCAGTGGTGCTTGGTCAGGAAGGCGGCAGCTGCTTCTGCTTTTACTTAATTACTCCCAAAAAGATTTTGATCCCACAATGAAGTTTCTTGGGACATAAACCTAAATCCATTTGGGGGGTAATAGGGATAAAAAAGAAAAAAAAAAAAACCCAAAAACTTTCTGCCTCCAACTCATCACCAAGAAATGTGTAAGTCAATTGTGAGTTTTATTAAAAAATAAGCACTATGCTTGGGTTTCATAAAATTTATACATGAATATGTACAGAAACACAAATAAAATAATATTAAAAATAAAAATCACACTTGCTTTCGAGTGGCAGTGGTCCTGGCTGCCCACAAACATGTCCACTTCTCCTTTAAAGAAACTGCTTGGCCCGAGGAGACCACAGTTCAGAACTACTAATAAAGCTGTAGCCGTTGCCTGCAACATTTTCAAATCAGATTTCAAAAATATATAAATAATTTAATTAAAAAACGCCAACATTTCCTTTTCTTCGTTTGGCACAGTGAAGCATCGGTCGACAGCAGAGAAATGACGAAGATTCTCTGACACCTCGGACAGTTACGCTTACGAATGCCACACACGTACACTCGCGGGGTCCCGTGGACCCCAAACAGTAGTCATATCATTTGCCCTATGGAACGGTTCCCTGATGTTCCTTTTTTTCTGGGGAGGGGGTGTAAATCAATGGAAGGTGCAATAAAAATAGGAATTATAGGAGCCTGGGTAATAAGGAGAGGAAAAGTTTTTACGAGAGAGGACAGGCTTAGCCAAGATATTAAAGCAATTAAGAACTGCTTTGGTCCTCTGTAAGGTTATAAAAGACAAAGGAAAATATTTTGGACTAAGTTAAAACACTTCTTTCAAAATGCTTAGCTTTAAGGCACGTTTGACGGAGATTTTTTAAAAAAGTCTTTTCCTCTGTGTAGAAAGTGCACAGCCCGAGCCTGGCTCCCCATCTCCCCGACGGCGCCCACCCCTGCTGCGCTGGGCGGCGGCTCAGGCCAGCAGCGTCTCCACCGGGTAGGGCAATTGCGGGCCGGGACCACAGGCTGAGGCCACCTGCAGGGCGGCGGGCAGCCGCAGGGGGCAGTACAGGTGCGCGCCGCCGCCGCCGCCGCCGCCGCCGGCCGCAGTGCCCCGGAACGCCTTAGCCGGGCCCGCGACCGACACCGGCGCGAGCAGGAGGTGCTGCGTGGCCAGGGGAGCTGCGGGCTGCGTCTCTGCCCCGCGGGCGCACAGCAGGAGGCCACCTGCAGGGCGGCGGGCAGCCGCAGGGGGCAGTAGCCGCCGCCGCCGCCGCCGCCGCCGCCGCCGCCGGCCGCAGTGCCCCGGAACGCCTTAGCCGGGCCCGCGACCGACACCGGCGCGAGCAGGAGGTGCTGCGTGGCCAGGGGAGCTGCGGGCTGCGTCTCTGCCCCGCGGGCGCACAGCAGTGCAGTCTCGCCCGCTCCGTACGCACACAGCGGCAGCAGGGCCCCGCCAGGCGCCGTGGGCAGCAGCGCGGGGTACGGGGGCAGCGGCGGGCAGGGCACAGTGCCCCACGGCACCTGCACCCCCGAGAGCCCGGGACCCGCGTCCCTGTCGCGGCGGCTGCGGAAGGGCTTGCTGAGGATGCTGTCGATGGCGAAGGAGCTGGAGAACTTGCCCGCGGGGCTGGCGCGTCCCTCCTGGCGGGCTGGCGACCGCGCGGGGGGCGATGCGCGCGCGGCGGGCCCGGGCCCAGCCGAGGGGCGCCCCGGGGTGTCCTCGGGCCGTAGCTCGGGCGCGGAGGCCGCTGCCCTGTGACCGAGACGCTTGCGGCGGCGGCGGAAGACCCCGTCCGCGAAGGTGTACTCGCTGTTGGGGTTGAGCATCCAGTAGTTGTCCTTGCCCCAGGGCCGCGAGGGGTCGCGCAGCACCTTGACGAAGCAGTCGTTGAGAGAGAGATTGTGGCGCACCGAGTTGCGCCAGCCCGTGTAGCTGCCGCGGAAGAAGGGGAACTTGCCCATGAGGTACTCGTTGATCTCGGCCAGCGTCAGGCGCCCGCCCGCCGAGTCTCGGATGGCCATGGCGATGAGCGCGATGTACGAGTAGGGGGGCTTGGGGCGCCGCGTGTACGGCTTGGCGCGCGCGCTCTCGCCGCCCCCTGCGCCTGGCCCCGTCGCGCTCGCCCCCGCTTCGCCCGCCGCCGCCCGGGCCTCGTCTCGCGGTCCCGGGCCTCCGTCCGCATTCTCCTCGCCGCCGCCGCCCGTCGGATCCCCGGCGTCTCCGCCTGCCGCCGGGCTGTTGGCCGCGCAGTCCCCGTCCGAGCCCAGGGAGTCGTCGCCGGTCGCCGACAGCGGGGAAGGCGCGTCGCTGCCGCCGGCGCCCTCCAGGTCACTGCCCGGCTTGTCCGCCGGGGCCGCGCGGGGTCCGAACACCTCCAGCTTCATACCCGCGCGCGGTCCCCGCTCGCCGCCGTCTTCTGCTCTCTAGGGCGGTCTTCGGAAGTCGCGGCTGGGGTGGCGATCCCGGGGCCGCGCGTCCGGGTCTCTCTGCCCCACGGACTTGCCTTCGTCCTCCCGAGACACCCTTTTCCTGGGGAAAACCCGCTATCGCTGGATCCTTTTGGGGAGGGGTCGTGAGTTCCGGGTGGGCTAACAGGGCGGGGGCGGAGGGCCCGGGTGCGTGCGGCCTTCGGTGCGGGGATGACAGGGCGAGCGTCGCGGCTCGCGGGTCCTCCTGGTTTCTTGCTGGGAGGATGCCGCTGCTCATCTGCCGTCCGTGGGCTCCGGGAGGGCGTCTCCGCCGGGGATGCGGGCGGGAGCCGGGGCCGGCGTCCCCGCGCCGCCCTGGCGAAGGATCCGGCGCCCTCAGCCTCTGGCACGCGTGGAGCCCAGTCCTCGAAGCCGCAGCGCTCTCAGCCACCTTCCCGCCCCCGGCCTCCGGGGCTGCATGTCCGCGCGGCCGGCCGCAGCTGAGTCCCCCCGCCGCCTTCGCCCGCCCAATATAACCCTGAGGCGGCTCGGCGGGGCGGGGCCTGGGCGCCGCCGGCGGGGGGTGGGGAGCGCGGTGGCCCAGGTGGCCGCGGCTCCCAGTGGGCGCGCACAGGCAGAGGCCACGCGGCGGCGCGGCCGCGGAGTCGCCCGGCGCAGGTTGTTTGTTTTGGGTCTGCCCGGCCCCGCCCTCCGCCTCCCGCCAATGGGGAGCGCGCGCGCGGCTACGCGCGTGTGAGCGTGCGTGTGCATGCGCGCACGTGTGCGGCCTTACCGGCCCGCGCCCCAACAGGTGTGAGCGCCCGGCCTCTCGCGGCCTGGCGGGGTCCCTGCCCCCGAGATACCCGGACGACTGGGCGAGTGTGCGCGTGGGCTGGCTCCCCTGGGGACCCCGGAAAGGGCGAGCCGGGCGCTGGGGTGCAGGTAACTGGGCTCGGCCTGGGGCTCCGGGGGGGAAAATCGTGCAGCGCAGGAAAGCACCCCTCAAACGGTCGTACCCGGCTGAGAGCGGCAGGAGCGCCCAGGACGCGCGCCTAGCCTAGTGCCTGCCCTCAGGAGGCACCGCCGTGCCTCCTTCTAGGATTTCTTTTGGAGAACTGTCATCTCTCAGCCCCTTCTTCTAGTGAGTTAAAACACGGGTTGAAAAGGTACGCGCCTTTTGGGATGACTTTGAGTCTCGCTCCAAGCTTCCGACTTTCACTTTCTTTTGTCTCGCATTACCTGGAGGCTCCCGAAGGAGAGCAGCAGAGTCCTCTGCTCCGGGCGGGCGCAAAGCCCTGAGCGCATCCGCGCCACTTGGAATCCTGGTCACCTGGGTGCTGACCGAGCTCTCCGCGGAGCCAGGGAGCCGCGTGCGGAACGGCCCTCCGCTCCACGACTCTTGCACTTGCTCTGTGGTTTCGTTGGCACTGGTGTGCGACTGTCCAGAAAGGGGCTTCTTTCCTGCCCAGGACTCTAGGTCTCGCTGCCCACCCACCCCCCACCATCGCCCTGGCCCCAGGAAGGTGCACTTCCAGTCCCCGCCTGCCACGCTGACGTTTCCTCCTTTTTCCTGCCTTTGTTGAAATCAACAACATGGCTGTGAGGACTGGGAGCTCATCTTTGATGTTTATTTTATTACTTTCCACCATTTGTGTAGAAAATATACACAATCCTCTCTTATCTTTACTTCAGGAGTTTAAACGCCATTCAGAATGAGGTGGGCAAGTGACAGAGCGAAGGAGGGCTCTGTTATTTTGTGCTTGCGGGGAGTGGGGAGATGATCAGGGCTGGAGATTAGGCTGACTTTGTTGCGTGGGCTCAGGCGGGCGAGTGGGGAGTGGGGGCCCAGGCCAGCTTTGGGCCCTGAAGGATCCACCCTAAAGGGCCTCTCCCGGCTCTAGCCCCGAGAATTGACTGGTCCCTGGAACTTGGACAGGGGAGTAGGTTGGTACAAGAAACTAGCAGCGTAAAGAAACATTGATTTGGCCAAGGATGAAAGACATTTTTAATGAATGCTACCCTCGTTTGAACTCTGGGCAGGACAGGAGGGCGCATGCCTGTTTTATGGGCAAGATAAGTCTGAGAAGGGTTGAAGCCCAGGAGGCTGGTGGGACACTCCAGGCTTCGGAAGATGGGTGGGTGCGGGGAAGGGAGTCCTCCTGCCACCAGCCCAACCTTCCAGGTCCTTTCGCTTGCCCCTGTATTGGGTCCAGGCTCTACCCTGACCTCAGCAGGACAGTGGTCTGCAGGTCACTCCTGCGAAGTGGGCCTCTGTCTTCCGGACTGCAGCCTGAACAGATGTGGGGTAAGGGAGTCAGTGGAGATGGCTCGACTGCCCAACAGGGAAAATCTTTTCTTTCCTCTTGGTGATTCAGCCTTGGGAAGTGGAATCGGTAGGTGAGAAGCTGCCTGCAGGCACCTAGGGGGACTGTGGAAAAGACACCCCTGTGAAAGCAGGGGTGGTGCTAGCTCTTGGGGGGGGGTCAGGACCCTGGAGGTTCCCTGCAGGCCTGGGAGGTGGGGGTAGAGGGCAGGGTTCTGTCTTTTTTCTTCAGGTGTATTCCTCCTTATTTGCTGTCAATATTCTGTGTTTGTCTGCAGTTATAACCAAAAATAAAACTCTTTTAGTTGATGTTGATATTGTTATTATTATTATTATTATTATTATTATTATTATTATTATTATTATTATTATTATTATTATTATTATTATTATTATTATTATTATTGAGACAGGATCTACTATGCAGTTCAGGCTGGCCTTGCAATCACTGTGTAGCCAAGCTGACCTTGCACATGCGGTGATCCTCCTGCCTCAGCCTCCCAAGTGCTGGGATTATGGGTGTGCACTACCATCCTGTCTGATGTTGATATTATCTTTAGCTGTTGTTTTACAGCCAAGAACTCATTGCCCTTTTGCAGGTGGTAGAAAGCAGGACTGGATGGAGGGGCTCCGTTCGCTGTCTATCTATCCAGAACAACCTCAAAGCTCGGGACCTACCTAGACTGGCAACACAGGCAGACACATGCGCGCGCGCGCACGCACACACACACACACACACACACACACACACACGCTTCATTGTTCATAAGTTTCCCAAAAATGCTTCAAGCTTTCCGTTGCTGAATTCTCAATCTTTTGGGAATATGTTATTAATGGGTTAATAATAAATACCAGTAGATGGAGCCTCGCCAAGTACTTGCAGGTAAGACAGACCTATTAATTGGCTAGCCCCCACCCTTTAATTTCCTTGGAGGCCAGGGACTAAACCATGGCCAGGGACAGAAGTTCTTCTTCCATGACTTTGCAGCCTCCCTACAGTAGTCTTAGGGAGAGGAAGATAATGCCCGTATCTCTAGATGCCAAAACTAGCTTAATTAACTGCAGGAGCTATCTGCTCCCATAATTTGTAAATGGTTCACTGCCTCCCTTCCTAAACCCTAACTGGGAAGGAAAATTTAATTCTTGGTCCACCTAAGGGGACTTGGCAGGTTGGAAGTGGCCTCTCGCTGGAAATGAGTGCCTTATCCTCTGCATTAGGAGAGCAGGCCGCCCGCTGGGCCCAAGAACTGCACAGCCATACTGATAACACCTGGCAACCTGGAGAGAGGGCTGTCTCTTGTCAACCTCCGCTGGCCAGCCTTTGACCACTGGATCTGAAGAGGATATAATGAAGCAGCCTTTCTGTGCAGGTCTGAGCCTCTGAACGTCCATCAGTGCTCCAAAGCCCTGGGAAGCTGGAGGTGTCGGGGTCCGGCTGGTGTTGAGAGCTGCAGGGAACATGTGGGCCTTCGAGCCTGTGGGAGACTTGGATCAGGGGGAAAGGCCTGGCCAGGGACTGGGGTCAGGGGCCACGTGGGTCCTCTGCGGAGGTCCTCTCCAGCTTCCCCTTTTCCTTTCCTCCTGCAGAAACACACAGACGAAGGGAGGGCTTGGTACCTTGTTCAGATCACCACCTCCACAGTCCGGCTAGTTATATTGTGGACTGAGATGCTGCAGACTTTGGAAGAACTGTGCAGAGACAGAGGCAGGGACAGTTGTAGATGGGAGAGCCTGGGTGTTCTTACAGATCTTTGCCTGCGCTTCTTCCTAAAGATGTTTCAGCAAGATTCAGCGAGCTTCTTTGGACGTTCGTCCTGCTTGAGCAGTTTCCCTTTGCTCCTCTGGCCCATGGGCATGGACCGAGGAGCTGGCTGGGTATTACTGAGCAGTGCACATCCGTGGCATGCTTGAAGTTAGCTCTTGGGGGCACCACAGCCAACAAGTAACCCCCGGGTGGGGCTTAGTGAGCCCTGATTCTAGGTGCTGTTGGTCAGCAAGTACAGAGTGGTAGGGAGGCCTCGTGGTAGAGAAAATTGAAGGGTGAGAGGAGGACAGAAGATGCAAGACATGAAAACGATCATCCGGGACGTGGCAAGGATCAACAGTCCCCCCAAAATGCTGCTGGTTATGGGACCCTGAGCAGAAATCCTAATCACAGTAGCTCAGTATGTGAAAGTATTATCAAGGAATAAAGTCAAGCCCAGGCCTGATTCATTACAGGGAGGTAAACAATTTGAAAACCTTTTTTTTTTTTTTTTTTGGGCAGAACTGAGGATTGAACTCAGGCCCTTGTGCTTGCCAGGGAAGTGTGTATTCCACTGAATCTCCCCGGCCCCTAACGAGGTAAAGAATTTGGACAGGGATTGTGGTGTTCATCTTTCAGACGGGACCAGATCTGAACATTTCTCCCTGTCCAGTTTTGGTCCAGTTCATTTATTAACCTAAAGTTCTTTAAATCTTAAAAGCAGAATAAAGAGTATTACTCTACTTCCCTTTACAATGAACTGCTCAGTTCTCTCTTTGGCTTGGGATCATCACTTTCCACAGTGAACTAAAATGGCCTTACCTGATGTCTGTGAAGGGGAGAATCTGTGTCTCCAGGAGGAGGAGGGAGGTTCTCATGATGCCATACAAACTGGATCAAAGAATGGCCAGAGGAAGACAAGACTGAAC